ACTTTATTCTTAATCAATGTTTCTCAACCAGAATTGCTCGAAGGACCGAAAATATAATTTAGTGGTTTATCAGAGACAGGAAAGATGAATAGGAATCTGAAATATTGACTTAATTTTTACTTATACAAATTTGTGGTACTTACACAATTTTTTGATTAGTTTGTTTCTAAGCAGTCGCATATTCTCTACAATGAAGATATTTTGAGCCAAAACATATTCAAATATGAAAACAATTTATCCAAACATTAATAACGACAAAATGGCTAGCATGTCGATTCTAGGTATCAAAATTAGCTTCGGCAACACGTAAAGCGTAAGATTAAGTCGATTTCGATGTTCTGTTTTAATAACACTAATAACACAAAGGACTATGACTTGGAGGATATCAAAAACACAAAGTAACCTTAAATTTCCGTTAAAAAATGTAAGGAATTTAAAAAAAAAATTTTAAAATGCATTAAGATTTTACAAAATTCTTTGAAGTCCTAAATGTTGAAAATATACAAATTTGAATATTTATTTTCACTACTTTCCGGTAAACCTAATAATTTGAACTGGGAGTCGGACACCATCCACGGGCCCTTTAACCATTCATCTTGCGGTTCGGGCCTTTGTGGTGATAGCAAGTATTTTGCTGCAATATATTTAATTAATTAGAGTAACGAAAGGTGTAATAGCAGATGTTAAAGCGAAGTAAATGACTGAAAAATAATACACTGCTTGCGTTTGGCGCGCATTAAGGGTTGTCTCAATTTCAAGCGCGGAGACATTCTCCTCTAACTCCCCCGCTGAAATGAACTCTTCTTTCGAGGAGGTGGAGCCAAGTGCCGATTCCTGGTGAACGAACTATGGTTATTGTTGGATCCATCACTGCAGAAGTGGGAAGCAATTGGACTGAGCAAAATTTCTGTTGGTTAAATAACAAGGAATGTGTTTGCTGAGGCCTGGTTAAAAGTTAATCTGCATTAATTTGAATAATGCGTCTTGAAGCCAAATTCTATCGCATGCTTTAGCAATATCAATCATTAAAAAAGTGGGTGATTCTTTGTTGAAATCTCGCCCAATTTAAGCAATGATTGGTAATTGCTACTTTGTAGGGTCAAGTTTTTTTTTCTCCTTTTTGTATTGATATTACTCGTCAGGTAAGGAGGAAAGGTACTGTTTTATTGTAATGGAATTTCTAATTTAAATATTCTTAAACTAAAAAAAAAACTTTGAAATTTATTTATTAAATTTGAAAAGTAGAACGAAAACATTTTGTCCTACATAAAAGTTGTTGGCTAGACTAAAATAAAAAAGGAAATTTTTTTAAATTTGTTTCATATCATAACACTGTGTAAAACTAAGAACATTTCTCTATTTTTTAAAAAAGAAAAAGTTTCGACAAACGATTTAATTTTAACTGTAAATAAATTTTAAAATAGTATGAAACATGACTAAACTTAGGAATTAAAAATTACATAAATTTTTTAATATAATGTTTTTATCAAAATATATTTAGTATAATCAAAATCTTAAGGATCTCTACACAAATTTTTGATGACGTAAATGAAACGTAGTGGTGGGCGTGTCAGGTACACCGCTTGATCTAGTCAATGGTCTACAGCCCTGCTTTCGTTTCACTGGTAAATAAAGGGTCTTGTCATCAATATTAAATGTTTGTGGGCCGGGATAACCTGGTCGGTACGGCAATGAGCCTGAAGTGAGTACGAAATGAGTGAAGTGAGTACGAAGTGAGTGAATTTCATGAACACAAACATCAATATAACATAAACTAAATTAAACATTATGGGTCGTCCTGCGACCAAGCTAGCTAGTGAAAAAGTTGAAAAGGTAAGTGGCTGTTCTTCCTCTGAAGGACAGAATATATATCACTAGGATCACAGGGTTGCTTTTACCTGAAGATCTTAAATCGTCAAGCCGGTGGTAAGACTGGTGAGAGTGGCGAGCACCGCAAGCCCAAGTCAAAGCCCCGTGGGTTCGATCTTAGCCGGCCGAAATGGTGACTGATGCATGTTAAATCTGTCGAGTCACAAAGTCCTCCATCTTCTCGATACGAATGAAACCTCTGGGGATGATGATTAAGGAGTTCCACAAGCGAGTAGGGACAGGATGATTCCATAATACAAACGGACTTAGAAAATTTAGAAAGGGGAAAATGAGTTCGATATCGGGAAAACGTTGCTGGTGAGAGCATTAGCTTAACAAAATATCGCCTTATTTTTGCATCAACATTGGAAGCCAAATTTTGGCGGAGTTTTCTGAAGCAAAAACACAAAAACTTAGCTAGGGTCATCAAAAAGGAAAGAATTGATTATTAGGCTTTACAGTAAAGACAGTTAGGATGGAATTTTTTTTTAAATCTTTAAAGAACGTTTTGATGCAGAGAGGTACTGTTGACAATTATCGCTTGAGGTTCCAGCAATTCTGTACATGTTGGAGGAGTGTGAGGGGGAGGGGAGATCGTGAAAAGAATTCCGTGTATAAAGGAGATAGAAAGGAAAACAAGAAATTATAGATTTATAATGTCTGATAAAAAAAACACTTTTAATCAGCTGTTTTAATATATTAATATATATTTTTTTTCATCTTGTGTTTACTTCAAAAAAATAATGTGTTTATTTTCTAATTTTGTGTTCCCCAAATCATTATTAAGCTTACAAATGTCGTATCACAATCTGAAAAATAAATTTTCAGTTATGATCTATAGTGTTGTAGTGTATTTTTCTGAATTGTAAATATATATTTATGCAATATAATGTGTTAAGGCCGGGGAATTTTGGTTGAATCGTGACAAAGAAAGATCGAAAATATTTTTACAAAAGTGCGGGACATCATTAATGGACAGACCCAGAACCTCATTAACATAGACGGGACAAATATTGTACTGATTTTTTATATTTAAAATGTCTTTTTTCATCAAGAGATGGACTGCCTGCAATTCATCAGTAAGGGGTTCTAATATAGCTGTAATAGGTATTTTGTTCAACAATTTAGAAGCAATAACATTTCTTTCTTCTTCACTAAGCTTCATTCTCCCAATATCATTTTTATGGCCTATGTGCTTTTTTATGTATTCAACAGTAAGAACTGATTTTTTTTCTACAACCTTCATCATAGCAGGGCAGTTAGCATTAATTTTGTTGCTACCCATACATTTTTAGTTTCCTTCAGAATTAAACACTCCACTTCGATGACAATAGCAGTAGGTGGTTTTAGAGCTACCATTCTCTTCAGATCCAGATTTCTGGACATACGTAACATGATTTTCATATTCAATATTTTCTTTCCAAGAAGAAAATGAGTCTAATAAAGAAACTTCGAAAATTTCTTTCTGGATTTTAATACCACGTGTCTGTTCAACATGAAATTCCATTTTCGCTTTAGATGGAAATGTTTCATTACAAACAGCACACTTGATGCCGGATCGTGATCCGAACGACATATTTTCCAAACTTTTATCCGGATGCTTCAAACGTGTATGTTTATACAAATTGGAACTCGTTGAATATATCTTTTCACATTCAACACATTTATGTTGAATATCATCCATTATAAACTACAGATCGCAAATAACCAAATTAAAAATAACTAACTTTAAAGTAAAAAAAAAAATTAAAACAGCAAAAGCAAAACAGATCACAATAATAAAAACAAAAATAAACGAAAAAATTCAACAAATAAGATATTTTATACGAGTTCGAAAATGACAGCAAATGTCGCAAAAATTAACATAAACAAATGCGAGCGGTGACGGCAAACCTTTGAAATTTAGCAAAGACGCCAAGGAAGCGAATGAAAAAAAATCCTCAATATTCTCACTGTAATTTCCCTACTTTTTTCTCTTCCGACGAAATTCTAAGTTTTTAACATTATGGAATCGTCCTCCCCCTAGTCACTTGTTCGCTGGATTTTTTCAAAATTACAGAGCTAAGCTACGGAGTTCAAAATTAGTAATCGTAAACCCAAAAACTGGGTCGGGTGTTAAAGACGGATATTAAATAGGAAAAAAAATATTACATGTTTTATATACACAGAAACTGTCACCATAAAGCAAGAGTTTCCATCTATTAAAGATAATGTCGAATATGGAATCATAACCCAGAGTTTTCAGACGAACAACTATCTATCTATGTAATTTTTAAATACTGAAATGTTTACTTTTAAATATAAGGTGGTAAGTTGTTTATTTCATAATAAATTCATTTAATTCTTGCATTACTTAAATCAGTGTTTCTCACTCGAAAGACCGATTGCATAACTTAGTTGAATGATTTGAAATATTATTGATTTTTTAAGTCGATTTCGATATTTTATTTTAATAACACTTCTGAGGCCTCGGGTTCCCAGTTCGAACTTTATGGCCATTAACTTTTCCATAAAACAGGACAAACTGGATACTAGTTGTTTGAGCAATCGCTTGGTTTTTCTACCTGTAGATGCAGAACCGTCGCAGAATGGGCTTTGGTTGCTAAAAATTAATGACTTGCCAGCAATATTAAATGTGTGAGTGGGAGTTGGCACAAAGAGAGTGATCATGTTAATAAGTAACCAGCTGGCATCAGAAGGCTTGGTTGTACTATGACATGAAAAGTAACGCCTACTTTCTACTCGAAAGCTATGAACAGCATATAGTACTGATAAAAAAATTTTTTGTCTGCTGTTGCATTAGATTTTATGAATAAAGTTCAGATATTTTCGTATCTTCGATTTCATATGGGTTTCTCTCTATAAGTTACAGGTTTTATGCAAAGATTATATCTTTTATTTTTCAGACTTTTTAAAAAATTTTTATGGGTTTTTTTTTCTTTTTTCCCCCCGGATTTTTATTATTATTATTTTTCTTTTCCCCCCTTTTTTCACTTGTCAGTAATTTTCGTTTGTTTTATCTTCATTTTGAACTTTTATATATATATATATTTCAACTAAATTTGAAGATTTGTCTCGCCAATTTGATACTCGTTCAAAACCTTATGTAAGTTGGCAACTATATAACTCACTTTATTAAGACTTTCTTCGTCAGGCGTGAATCCAGACGCCATTTTCACATACACGACAACCATGTTTGAAGTTTGATCAGGTATTTTGTACCTACGAAAGAAAAAAAATTAATTGTATGCATTTTCCCTCCCTTCAAAATTCGCTTAAAATACAAAATTTTATTTTTCAAGTAAAGCAAAATGAGACAACTGTACTAATTTTGCGTTTCAATTTCAGGCCAAGTTTCTGGATCAAATAAGAGGATTAGATAATTGTTGACTTCAATTAGAAAACAATATTTTTTTTTTAACTGTTTCGTTTTGAAACTTATACAAGTGTATCGTAACGCTGTCGTTGATGGCAGAAGCTGTGAAGCGTGAAGCATCTATGGCATGGGTGAAAGGCTAATCGAAAAAGAAGAAAAACTGGTAGTAAAACCATTTTACTTTTAGCTGGTAGTGGGGAAGAGTAAATCAATTCTTTTTTTGAAACAATTCAGCAATATCTACTCTTTTTTGGGGAAAAAGCTATGCTATAATATATATATGCTACAATTGTGAACTGTACGTTTCTCTTAATGCATCTAATAATCAGAAAAATTAAAAATACTTATAAAACTTTTAATTTAATTATGAGACAAAGAAATTTGGAAATTCAAGTAAAATTGATCACATCAAATGTCTTTTTTTTTTTTTTTTTTTTTTTTTTTTTTTTTTGCCCAATAAGAATTAATGGGCTGGGCCGGTCATCATTTTCAAATTATTTATATGAAGGATTCAGTACATAAATTGCATACTTGGAAGGGAAGTAATTCACATCAAAGGATTGAGATTTGAATAACGATAGTTAGTCTCCGTAAGCCGCTAGGGGCACTTCCCTATTATTGACTGGGTTGTTCGTTTGCATTTTTAATAATTATGGTCAAAAATTTATTTAAATAGGCTCAGGTTTGGCTGTTTATTGCAGATTATTGACAAGGTGGCTAACTTGACTAGCCCTTTATTTCAGTCGTCAAGTTATTAAGTGTTAAGCAAGGAAGTGTTAAGGTCGTCAAGTAAGTTCGGTTGTCTAGTTCCCATATAAGTATAACATAGAGCATGTTTACAAGCCTCTTTTAATGCGTTCGACAATAATTTTTATAAAGGCGTGGTGGCTCAGGGGATAGAGCGCTTGCCTTCAAGGGAGGTGAACCGAGTTCGAATCCTAGCGATGGCTGGTCGATACGAATTCCGAGTCCGGATTGCACCGACCACAGTGCCGACGTAAAATATCCTTAGTGGCAGACGGATCATGGGTTAGAGTTCCTTTTCGGTTAGACTAAGCATGGGAGGTCACACTCTCAATGTAACGCAAATGCGGGTTAGTTCTATTAAAAAGTCCTCCACGAAGGCAAATTTTTCCGAATGCTTGTTCCAGGAGTTTCATTGTTTTCCGGATTGAGTTCAAAATTACAAGGATACGGAATTGAACTATAGTGAACCTTTGCAGATAAACGGACATTCCTTTGAAAAGGTTAAAGAATTTAAGTATCTTGATACAATTATCAATGACCAAAACAAACTGAAATCTGAAATTGACAATAGAATCAATATGGCCAACAAATGTTTTTTTGGACTAAAAAGTCAACTAAGATCGAATTTTATTAGCCGAAAAACAAAACTGAAATTATATAAGACACTCATTCTGCCTGTCTTGCTATACGGAAACGAAACCTGGACTTTAAACCTTGACGTCCAACGCCCGATAGAAACGTTTGAAAGAAAGATACTTAGAACTATCTTTGGTGCCATACCAGAGGGGGGATGTTGGCGAACACAGTACAACTTTGAACTTTATGGGCTCTATAAACATCCTCAAATTATGCAGATAATCCGATGCAACCGACTAAGGTAGCTCGGCCATATATGGAGAGGCTCTGAAGATAGCCCTGTAAAAATTGCCACCTTCAAGAACCCTCAGGGGTCCCGCTCTAGAGGTAGACCACCTACTCGATGACTCAGCGACACCGAAAACGACCTCAATGTCCTAAAACTTAAGAACTGGAGGGGAGTTGCCATGGACAGAGGGAGCTGGAGAAGGCGTGCTGTTGAGGCAGCCAGGACCTGCAAAGGGCTGTTGCGCTCCTGAAGAAGAAGAAGAAACGCAAAATTGGGTCGGCTGTTCAACGACGGTTTCAAATCATTTTAATAAAATATGAAATAAACGTAAAATGAAGATTATTTAAGTAAATAAAAGTAATGTTGCAAATGCCCTCGGACAGTCAGTTCATAATGAACAGACGCTTCCCTCGGCATACGAAGACATTTTCAGCCACGGAGTTCCGTAAAATTATCAATTTTCATGATCTACCTTACTTTCTCCAAATTTTTAACTGATAATATTGCCGAGCGAATCGAAGCTATCGATATTTCAGAATAATATCACGATATATCGGTGTACTATCCAAAATATAGATATCTATATATATATATTTCTCTTACAACTACCCGAATGGCAACGCTGGAAAATCGACCAATGATTGCCGCTGAAAATGCCACATGCCAAATCTAGCTGAGGTGGCTCAACATATAGCGCTTTTAAAAACGGAAACTGAAATGACCAGAGAGCATCAGCTGCGACAATCTCATACTATTAAGCTAGGCGGAAGTGAGTAGTCTTTGTCGATAGATCTCTATTTGAGTATTTTCTAGAGAGCGCTTTTTTTCACGAATTTACATATTAAGAATTTATTTGACGATTTTTGATTTCTATCACGAATTTATTTGTTTTATCATTGTTATTAGTTGATCATTGAAAAATGAGTCTCAGTCGTGCTGTTACGCTTTAAAATTTTATACTATAGCACAGTTCTAATAGGTTTAACGAATTACATGTCATTCATTTGAATTAAAATTTATTTTAATGACTTAGTATTTACTAAAAAGATGTAATTTTTTTAAAAAAAAAAGTTGTTACATGGATTTGAATGATTGTTTTGAATTCTTAGAATTTTGTGCATTTTTAATGTACCTAATGGTTTGAGAAGCAAACCATATAAGATTGCGTAGCAATTTTCGGGGGTTGGCGAACGTTAGCGAGCAGGGGGCGCAGCACACTAGTATTACTATATATCGCGATATGTTAGTATTTAACAAGAACTTTTTTTTCTTTTAGAACATTATTATTTTTTCAATATTTATCGCGTGTCAATTTATTGATATTTATTTTGTCGATATTTATTATATTTTAAATAACGTTACATGAACTCGTGACTGATATTTCTAGATGCAGACATCACAAATTTATAATAAATTCATTAAATATTACAGGAAAACAAGGTAAAAAGAATATTACCTCATACAAATGCCGATTCTAGGTAAATTACATTCACTGCTTCCCATTCGTACAACGTCGACATTCAAGTCGAAAGCATCGCTTCCGACTGCCCTCTCCACGTTGTAACGGAAAGTGAACTGAAATAAAAAATTTTTTTTTTACATATTTCTTGAAATTTTTTTTAAGGAATGAGATTTTTGTTTTATTTACTTAACATTTTCCTACCATATCAGCACCAAATATTAGCATACTTCTTTTAAAACAAATTAGTATTCTAATCAACTATATGAATTGAATAAGCAATTAAAACTGTTATAAGTACATTGAACATATTTATTTTTTTGACTTTTTAATCAACCCGTTTTGTCCGGAACTGCGGGAACTAGTGATAGGTGGACCGGAGTACCTGGCCAAAAAGGCCACCTCCGTAAATTATATGATTACAAACTGAATCAAAGGCCATTGATGTTGAAATTATTTGGGTTAGTAAACTTAATGTTAGGTAGTTAAATAATATTGTGGAAAAAGAAGATAGAAAGGGCAGCACAAAACAGGGATAACACAGACAGGTAAAAACATAAACAAGCAAATGAGGTCATTAATCTTTCAGAAAAAAAATTATATTATATTAAATTATTAAATTTTTTTATTTTTTATTTAAAATTATTGACAAATAAGCAGTTAGTGATTAGCATTGTTAGTAGTTGTATCAGTAAATTAATTCAGAATGAGCCGCAGTAATTCCGCTAAGAATGGGGCCATCCCAAGCAAGTGGAAGAGTCTAATGATGATAGAGGAGATGTGGAGAAAGTCAGACGGAGCGAAAAAACCAGCAAACGGTGTCTTGAAGAATTTTATAGTAATGGAGAATGGCCTTAGGCCATCTCCTGCACTTAGAGTCATCTGGGTCGTAGTTAGAGGAAGACCAAATAAGGGGGTTGGAGTGCCCAGTGATCTTAAGAAAATACTTAAGAGATCTATTTTTGTACAAGTCAAGAAGGCTAGGCGTGCAGGTGTCATTACGGATATTTTTGTTCCTGAAATACCAGGGTGAATTTGTGATATTGCGGAGAGTTTTGTTATAAGCACTCAGTAAGAGTTTAAGATTTGTCTTTGCAGCCCCCCCCCGAAGGCGGGTGCAGCATATGTTAATAGGGGGGTGGGAAGCATTTTGAAAATAAGAATCCTGTTATTAGTACTGAGGGGGGTTCTTTTTTAGAATAGGATAAAGTGCACATTTTGCTGCTATGAATTTACTTTCAATGTTCCTAAAATGATATTTGAATGTCAGGGTTTTATCCATAATGTCACCTAAGTACGTAGCCTTCGTTTCCCATTTGAAAGAGAAGTTGTTATCAATGATAACATCCTTCTTGTAGGTCCTTTTTCTGGTGAATAGCACCGCCTGAGTTTAGTCGATATTGAGGGCAAGTTTCCAATTTTGGAAATAGTCAATGATGGTGAGGAGATGGTAAATGATATCGCTGATATACTTGCTTTGTGTGGCAATGACTGTATCGTCAGCGTACAGTGCAGTCAGAATACCAGGATCTCTAGGGATATCATTAATAAAAATTAAAAATAGGAGGGGTCCTAGTTTGCTCCCCTGGGGAACACCACTGTTAATGGGTCTTAGAGTGGAGAAAAAGGTGTTGCAGTTGACGAACTTTCTGTGTGTTAGGTAGGATCGTATAATTAGAATAAGTGGTCTAGGGAAATTGTATTTAATTAATTTATAGATAAATGCATCGATCCATACCTTGTCGAAGGCCTTAGCCAAATCAAGAAAGACGGCACCTGCTGTGTGTTTGTTGTGTAGCCATCCTTCATGTACGTATTCAATGAGCCTGATGAGTTGGTGTTGTGTGGAATGTTTAGGACAAGTCGATGTCCTCAGCAATTTATATTGAAATGATACAAAAAGTGGTTTTATGGAAAAAGTGGTAAAATATATTATCGAAATTAATTGGTTTTTCTACTGTTAGAGCATTCAAAAAGTGTTTGATAGATCAAAAAATACTTGCTCCTTATAATTCTAGATCTGATCAGAAATAACTAAATCATCATGGTATCTGAAAATCTTTTAATTCACTCAGATAACTGAAAATTCTGAAAAAAGTTTCCCACCACAATTAATGTCTTTGAAAAAAGGAACTGTCCTAAATATATGACGCTGGGCGTTAACCGGTTAAGGCGAGAATTTTGCATTTTTACTTAAAGTGGGCGTTTTCTTTTCGAAAGCGGTGAAGAATTCGAAAGAACATTTTACCGAGGAAAATCGGTGGGACGAAAACGTATTTTATGATTTCCTACATTTTGATATCTTTCCAAAATTAAGCTTTGGTTTGGAATATTTTAAGACTTATAACAGAATTAAATTCTTTTATGCGCCGCTTACTATCACCCATCCTTTTTTGTTTCTTACAAAATTCGGAAAAATGTTGTTCGCAGATGGTAATACTCTAAGTAAGGAGTGAGGGAAAAAAAAAACTCTCAATTTTTCCGCTAAACTGAAGAGCAGTAAAACCTGTCCCTGAAATAGTTTTACAATCCAATTTTTTCTGGATTATTACAGGCATCTATCAGAAATACTGCGAAGCAAAAGATGTGAAGAAATCGGGAAAAAAATAAATAACACAAAATTTAAAAAAATTCCCTTTCAAGCCAACGAACAGCATTTGAGCATAACCATCAACTGGTTAAACATACAACATTTCGTCTATTTCGCCTTTTTTGGGCAGTAAATTTTAATTAAAAAATCTAGTCTAGAAAACAAAGAATTACTGTTACCGTATGCATATCCACAATGATTTGTGCTTCATCTTTATATTTCTCAAAACAAAACAGTAGTTGATTAAGAATTGCGTTGTTTAAGATAGAGAAACTATTACAAATTTGGTAGTTTATATTTTTATCAAAAATAAGCGGACTAGTTTTTATTCCACCATCCTTGAAAAGGTTGAGTAGGTATTTTTTGTCTGCCTCGTGTTAACCAGTTTTATCCCGATTTTCTTAAGTTGAACTAATACAAAAAGTGGTTTTATGGAAAAAATAGTATATTACATAAATTGATAGCCAACATTTAATTTAAAAAAGTTTCTGGTCGTTTATAATTTTAGATCTAGTCATACGTTCGCAAATTTTATTTTTCAACAATGGTAATCTTTTTGTTTTCCGAGGCAAATGATACAGCGAAAAAAAAAAGAAAAAAAAAAGGACCATACGACAATGAATGTTATTTAAAAAAGAAACTTCTAGAAATCTGACTCTAAAAAGATAATATGACTAGCTTTGAGCTCATTTGACTCAAAAATTGTTAAACCGTTTTTCGAAAGAAAAAAAAGTACATTAACGATTAAATTTAATGAAAACGATTAAATTTAATCTTGAGTTCAAGTTACCGCATGTACAAATTCAGAATTAAATTGAATACTACTACTACTGCTATGTTTGATAGTGGTTCGTTTGAATTTTAGGATATTTTCTCAGTTTTTATGATTAAATATAAGATTTTTTACTTTTGAAAATTTATTAAATTTCTTTATAAAATTACTTTGTAACATAAAAATTAACTATTAAGCTTTATGAAAAAATATCTTATGTTCAAGTTACAGCATGTACAAATTTATAATTAAAGAGAATAATACAGCTAATGATATCTTGATAGTGGTTTGTTCGCATTTTAGAATACTTTCTCAGTTTTAATGACAGAATATACGAATTTTTTTTGAAAATTAATTAAATTTGTCTTTAAAATTTCTGTTGAAACATAAAAATTAACGATTAAACTTTATAAAAAATATCTTGTGTTCAAGTTACTGCACGTACAAAAAAGGAATTACATAGAATAGTACAACTACTGATATCTTGATAGTGAACTTCAAAACATTCTAACAATTTTGAAATACAAAATTTATCGGTGAAATTGTAAGTAGTGAGGAAGCGATTCACTAGCATGCAGGTGCAATATATAGATAGAACACCTGTTAGAGCACTGTAAAGATAGTGGTAGTTACTTGGACGAGAGCACATCCTTCTCCCACAGCCTGTAAATCCACAACGGTTGGAACTTCTGGAATCTTCATCTTCTGGGTCACGAGTTTGTTCTCTTCGTTTAGTTTGAATCCTTTAACAAGATTGTCAGCTTCAACGGCGAGACCCAAGTCTACAGTCCCTTTCGTTTGGATAGATGCGTAACGGGCTAATGCTTGTAGGGCTACTATTGTATCCTGCAAAAACATAAAAACAAATTCTCATAAATCCAGAGATTCCAACTTGCAGCAAAATGGCGCGGCATGTCTTATTCTTAGTTTAAAATATAGCGACAACCAGTATGTATTGTTTTGTAAAGAATATATGCGAACCTGCTCGTGAACTTTGCTCAATCAAACGTCTAATCCTTAAAGTGATATATTAAAAAAATTGTTAACTTGCACTTATTTCAACTATTGAACAATGGTTACCCAAATGCACTAAAACACTAAAAGAACAATGAATATCCAAATATGTAGCCTCCATTAGCAATGTGCAAATCATTTGTTCTTTTAAAATTATTTGTTCCAACTTGCTCCTCTTTGTGGATCAATATTTTCCAGAGGTAGCAAAATGGCACGTCACGTCTCATTCTTAGTTTATAATGGTGACAATCACAATACAATATTTTGTAAGGAATATATGTGAACCTGCATGCGAGCTTTGCCTTATCTAACGTCTAATCTTTCAAGTGATATATTAAAAAACGTTAACGAGCACTTACTTCCACTATTGAATTATCAGTGAATAACACTAAAGGAACAATGATTACTCAAATAACTAGCCTCCATTAGCCCAGTGCAAATTATTTGTTCCAACTTGTTCCGCTTTGTGGGTAAACATTTTCTAGCATTAGCAAAATGGCGCGTCACGTGTCATTCTTAGTTTAGAATAGTGACAACCACAATGCAATATTTTGTAAGGAATATATGCGAACCTGCATGTGAACGTTGACCTACAAAACGTCTAATCTTTAAGTAGTATCTAAAAAAACCATTCATGTGCATTTACTTCCACTAATGAATTAACAATGAATAACACTTAAACAACCGTGAATACCTCAATAAGTAGCCCCATTACCTGTGAGTCATTTGTTCTTTTAAGCTCATTATTTGTTTATTTAAGAAAGACATATTAAAAGTGACTATTGAAATATGTAATAAGCATATTAATTTGTTACATAGCCCATTTTTAAAAGCGATGAATAAAAATAGTCATACAAAACCAAAATTAAGAAGTTACTTTTCCAATTTGCTGCTTAATAATTTAGAATTTTGTCTAGTAACTACATAAAAGAGTGTGACACAATTTTGCTCATCCGTTAAAATTACAAAGAATTTTTGAGTGATATAAAACGGAAATATTCCGCTTGTCTGTATTATATTTTCTGTATTATAGAGCTTGTTTGTATTATATTTTAATATTTGCAAATTTTCAATTTCTAGCTAATTCGCTAATCAAATTTTATAAAATGTCGGTGAACCCGTTATTCAGAAAAAAAAAAAAAAAGAAAACAAATATGAAGAAAAGGCTTAGCATATTTTAAAGGTAATGTAAAACCTGTTTTAAGAACAATAGCTAAAAAAAAAATTGATCGCATTATTGCAATCACTGGTTACCTATTGGTCAATTTTATTTCCTGGACAGACTGTCATAAACGCCACGACATTTCAAGTCACAAGTTTAAAAAAACTGCTTGAATTGATTTCTGTCATCTTGCCGTCCAAAGGGCTGGATTGGTTTTCAATTCCAACTAAATTTACATTTAAGACGTCACAGAGTTCTCTTCCTTCTTCAGTATTCATATTAATTCATCCGCCAAGACAGTAATTATGAATAAGTTAATCATAAATACAACATAAAAATATTGAAAACTAATCCTATGTCGGAACAAAATACAAGCTGGTAAAAAGAAAATAAAAGAAAAAGAGAATTCAAAAAAAAATTATGAAACAGAAGCGGTCACCATAGCAACGTATGCAATGACGACGCATGCGCACTGTTTATTCATACCATATATGGCAGTACTTTTACTTTCGTTACTTGTACCGCCGGTACAAGTAAAAAGTACGTACTTTTACTTGTACTTCGTTACTTTTGAAATTTAGTTCTTTTACTTGCACTTTCGTTACTTTTTTAGGAAAAAAGTGCAAGTATTTGTAACGAAAATATCGAATGAAATCGTTACTTTTTTCTAAAACTCGGTAAGCTTTGAAAAAAAAAATATTTAAAAATAATATTTATGTTTTTTTTTTTTAATTTATAAAATTAATGTGCAATATATATGCATTAACAGCCAACTTCGTGTTTAAATACCTTCTGTTTCAACTTATACTGCACATTCAATTATGTTTTACTAGCTCAAAGGTCACAAAGCTAACTGAAACCCCGTGTTTGCTTTGTTTACGTTTGTGCTTTTAAAACGCGTTTCTAAAGAGTAAAACAATTTTAAATCAATGGTAATTTAAATAAATAAAAATAATAAACTAAAAATTAAAATCAATAGATAAAATTTCTTTTTCGTGCAAATCCATAAAAAGTTTGATATTAAAATTATATTTGATTTTAAAATTATATTACGCGATTATATAATAAAATTATATTATAATATTCTTCCGAATTTAAAAATAAATTAATATCCATAACTTTCAAAATTAAAAATAATTAAATAAATAACAACAATTTCGCAAAACCATTAAAGAACATAAGAATATTATTCAATAAAAGTTTAGGTTACTTTGAATTTTCGATTTCCTAGAAATGTACTTTTAAGTCGTTACTTTTTTGTTCAGTACTTGTACTTTTACATGTACTTTTTACTCGTTACTTTTTAAAAGTAACGTTGCCGTATATGATTATTACTCCTGAACACAGTTGAAAAGTGTGATGACGTCAAAATAAGGTACACACGCCATCAAATCCAAAACAGTACCCATTTTGCCAATGGGTAAAAACGCGTTTTGAAGTAGATTTAGGCGATAAGGGTATCTAGCAGGATGCTGAAAATTGCAAATTGAAAGTTTATTTATTATAAAAACTTCATTTTCAATGAGTTTAATTATTTTATTTTTACCTGGGTTGAAATAAATCCACCTTTAGAGTTTCTTTGTTTAGCAATCCATCGTACCACTGGTAGGACACTTTCTGTGCTCTCATCATTCTCCAGTTCTATTCTGGCAAGGATGTAATATCCTGCAATCTCAACACTAATAGACTTGGACTTTAGGCCTTTTCCTTCTGAACTCCAGTGTCTAAGTCCCCCTACAAGAGAAATGTAGTTAAACTTATGAATAACGGTGACTTGCGGGACTGGGCTATGTGTCCGGTGTAAAGAGGTGGTCGCCATTTGGAGTTATTAGTTATAAAAATAATAAAGAGCTTTAATTCACTTTAATAGTGATATAAGAATAACATTGGCGCCTCCACTTATCCTTTTAGTCGCGGTGGTTCAGGGAATAAAACGTCCGTCTCCGGATGAGGTCCCAGGCTCGAATCCCAGTGGTGGCTGCTTGATGTGAATTCTGCACCCGACTCACAGTGGGGACGTAAAATATCGTTAGTGGTTGACGGAGCATGAGTTAGAATCAACGGGAGTTGAGTTCGGACTTACCGTGGGAAGTAACCTTGGTTTTTCTCTCCCTCGATGTTTATTTACTTATTAAACGAAATGATTAATTTAACTTTAAAGTAAGCGCCGTGGCGGATCAGGGGATAAAGCACTCGCCTCCCATTGAAGTAACCTAGGTTGGAATCCCTGGGATGGCTGGTTGATACGAAATTTTATCTGATAGATTACTTTCTAAATACAAGATACATTGTGCTACATCATTAAATAATTGAGTTAATTCAAGTTTGCAAGTTCAGTTATCACGCCGGCCAGGTGGCCGAGCGGTTAGACCGCCTGACTGCGAAGTCAATGGCTGCGGGTTCGAGTCCCGCTCTGGGCATGGATGTTTCTCTCTCTTGTGCTGTCCTCTGTTGTGTGTGACGTGTGAATGCGGCCCACCCTATAAACGGGTTTGTGGCAGTGTGGCGTGGGCAATGTTGCTCGCCTCCGTGACTTTGGTTCACAGGTGCCCACTGGGTAACGTGAAATGAGTAACAATTCCGGCATCTTCTAAGGCGAAAAATAAAGTTTAGTGCCAGTGCCTGCAATTTGAAAAAAAAAAGTTCAGTTATCACAATTGGCGCACACTTAAAAGGCTCCCAAGAAAACGTGCCAAATAAGTAGACGACACTTTACCTCAGTCAAGGAACGGAACTTGATTAATGCATTTAAATGTTATGGAATTTAAGATCTTATTTTATTCGCAAAATATTTATTTATCATCACAAGCAAAATACTTTTAAAATTTCAACGGCTGTTATAATTTTTATTAAAATGATGGCGTTTTGATTAAATAAATCCAATCAAAGTTCAAGAAACCCTAGGATTCCGTGAATACAAGTTTAAAACCTCCAATCTATACCAGCGTTTCCCAAATTTTTTCGGCTACGGAAACCTACTAAATAATCAACCTTCTTTTGGTTTAACCCTAACTTTATGTATAACGTTTATTAAGGTAATCGTGAGCGTTATAAGATTTTTCATTGTATTATAACTCATCTTAAATTAGGTTTTATGTGCAACAGTAAAATTTGTAGTCCTCTTGTGCTATATCTAATCTAGTAGAGAATTTGTTTTTGGTGTGTATATGTTACCGGAAAAGTTTGAAATTCAGCATTCTATAGAACGTCTAGGCATTGTATATAATGCCTAAGACTAGCCAGCGATGTGTGATACGATTTATATTTCACACCTTTCCTAAGCATTCTATAGGTTGCAAAGTATAAAATGCTTCTCCGTTTCGTTTCGTAATGTAATGAAATGTAATTCAAAATGTCATTCAAGCCTGCCATGTCGCAAGAAATAGGTTAATTTCTTATTCTTTAAATGTAAATTTTGTTTCTCTTAATAATAAAAGGCATAAATTATCATTATCATTTTTTTTTACGTATTTTGAATAATTTTTTTTATTGGCACTCTCATTATTTCTTCAAAATAACATTTTTATTCTTGAGAAATGCTCATCATTTACATAAAAACCTCATCAAGACGTTTTTTTCTTACTTTGCCTAAATAGTATTTGTCATTCTACAGAATGCCTAGGTATTATATACAAATTCTAGGGAAAGTATGTAATACTTCTCAAATTTCATACCTTGCCTAAAAAAATCTGGTATTATATACAATGCCTAGGCATTCTATAGAATGCCGGGGTTTCATACTTTGCCGGTAACATATACATAAGCCGAAAATGTATGAACTAAGCCGAATTATACAAAATGAAAACCTAAATGATCTGCTATAAACGTTGAAAATAGTGGTTCTTAGGTTCTTCATTCAAGAATTCTGTTGGAAACTGCAGTATTTTATAAATGCTTAGTCTTAGTTTTTTCATTATAGCGTTATTAGAAATACTATATTTCCCGAAAAAAAAATGCCATTTCGATTTCATTGACAATATACTTATACTTAAAATAATTTCAAAAAAGGCAATTGGAAAATTCAATAAATTATGGATTGGTTTTACCTGAATTTAATCAGATGTTTCGAAACTCATAATTGGTTTATAAAAAGTACTAACTCACGGAACCCAATTTGGGAACCGCTGGTCTATAGTGGCCAAAAACTGGTAAGTGTTCATTTCAATTGAGAGATTATATTCAGCTATGTACTATGCAACAGATGGAAAAGTTGCTGTGTATAGGTTACGCCCTCTTTAATGAAAAATTCTTTTTAAAAAGACATAACGTTAAATAAGCTTTTCTGTAAGAATAAAATACTGTTCGATCATTCACATTCTGCTTTCATTTTAACACGTTAAAGCCGGGGTGACCCACCGGTGGGTCACGCTAGATTGTCTCATCTTGGCAGGGCATCGGAGTAAAAACTGGTAACAATAAATTTCATTTTTTAGTTTTTTTTTCGGGAATAATAAAAATCCATAACTACCAATTGTTTTTAACGGATGCAATTTTGATATTAAATTGCTTCTTCGCCGTGATAAATTTCCTTACAGGGAATTGTTATTGTTGAGAATAGATTAACTCCTCCCGAATATTATCTAATATTGAAATAGTTATTCTACCAGTATTTTCTCTTTTCCCGTACCAGTATTTTCGCTTTTCCCGGCGTGAACGTGTTAAATTTGATGCTTCCATCCACCAAAATCAAACGGATACTTCGTATAGTATATATTAGCGTGGTTTTTTCTTTTTTTTTTGTTGCTCCTGATGTTAAAATGTTAGAAGTTACATGCAGTTCGGTACTAACCGATTCGTCGATAGTGTGAATTCGATAGTGGCGGGTAAAGATGTAGGATATGAAATTGGATATCGGAGAGGGCGGTGCCTAGCACCAAGTTAAGAATCGTGGGATCTCATTGGACGCTGACGCCAGAGAATCAAAAGTTAAGAAAAGGTCGGATTTGGTATTTGAAAACTGTTTGAAATAATCATAAAAATAACATGAAATAATAATAATACAATTGCGAAAGACAGAAAATACAATGAGAGCGATATTTACAAACACGAAAATAGATCAATAAACACTAATTAAGATAAGCGAGAATATAAAACAATTGAGGTATAATAAAAGTAGTACTTGATTAAATGAGTTATTTACATATATACAAATCGGGTTGGGGTTAGCATTATCAAATAAAAATAATCATGATTTGAGTGTATGATATAAATAAAAGTATATCCTCTGTTATAGAACTGACCCAGGCGTCTCGGTAATTACCGCTCGTTTCTGGGTTGCTCAGCTTACTATAGTTATCAAATACTAACTCTTTGGTCGTGATCCCCCAAGGAGGGGTTGCTACGAGGTAGTAATTGTTATGTTTGCTCTACATGAGATGTTTGTGTGTAGTAAATTGAATGAATAATTATAATATTATCCTGAATGTTGTTTGAAAAAGGCAGTGATTAGGCTGAATTTGGAGTTGTCTTCTATAAAGTCAATATCAAATTAAAATCGCTAGTGGTACAGTTGATGGCTTTTGTATAAAAATCCTTATTTAATTTATCCATATATTCGTTTATGTTGGTAATTTTAAGATCTTCGAGGATGCTATTATAGCTGATGCATCTAGGTGCTCCCAGCTTTCTTCTGAGGATTCTACCTTCAGCACTAGCTAACTTATTTTTTAATGAATTCCTTAAGGTGTTAATTGCAGGGCATGCGTAGGTTAGAACTGGCCATTAAATAGACAGTCCTTCTGCATTTAATATTAAGTAAGAGTTGAATTTGCATTTAGGATTGGGTGGCTGCCCAGTCAGCACCGTTAATGGAAATAAGAAACAAAATATTAAATGTTTTATATACACAGAAACCCTCACGTGAGCAAGAGTTTCCATCTAATAAAGATATTGTCGAATTTGTATGCAGATTCGAAGAACTTTTGCATCCAAATCCAGTTACTATATATTTAAATACCATAATAAAGTTTATTAAAAATAAACTGGTAGATTTACTGATAGAATTATGATCATAAAATTTTAGTCAAAGTAATCTGAAAAAGTAACGCCTACTTTTTACTCTAAGCTCTATTGAACGTGCTTTTAGTACAATTCGACACGACAAAACATGGAATCGGTCTACAATATCTCACAATAGATTAAGTAGTTTGTGCATGCTCAGTGTGCATAAGAAAAGAATCAAAGATGACTAAAAGTTATAAACAGATTTGGACAGCAAACAAGACGATTACAATTCTTGTTTGATAGAACAATTTTTTAATTGTTCTGTATTAATAATTACTTAATTATTTGTTTTTGAATAAAAAGATTTGTAATAAATTTTTTTTTATAGCAGAATTGTTTTTCTGTATGTCCTTAATTGTTAAAAAAAGAAAAGCCAGGGGGGTGCAAGTGCACCTCCTTATTTAAAACCAATGGATTATTACCTTAAAACTTATTATTATTCAATGTAAATTTTATGATCTGATTAGTTTTAAACTGATTATACTGTTTATATGCCAATTAGTCTAAGTCGCCCTCAGCCTAGATCAGTGTTTCTTAACCTGTGGTTCATGGACCCCTTAGGGGTCCATGGGTCATATTTTGGGGGTCCACCGACTACTCCTAATTTTTAAAACGTTTGGATCAATAATATTTAAATAGCATTGATCTTTTTTTCTTTCTAAAAGATGAAAATACATACATATTTGAAACTAGGTGATCGAGATACCCCAAATTCAGTACGGACTGCACAC